TGCATAAGCTGAGGATAGATGAACATTTGAAGCACTAGAAGTATTTAAGGGCTTTGCTGAAGACATGCCAAACCTCGACAGTATCTTCTGGATGTAGCTCTTCTATGACAAGAAAAGCTTCTTCTGCGACATGTCCCTGTAAATCTCCATACCCAAGATCTTCTAAGCAGCTCCCAAATCCTTCATCTCAAACTCAGCACTAAGAAGCCCCTTTAACTTCTAGATATCAGACTTCGACCTCGCAGCTATGAGCATTTCATCCACATACATAACTAGATATATCATCGAACCATCCTCTGCCTTGTTGTGATACACACAACAATCATATGGACTTCTGCTGTAGCCCAGCTCAGGCATGTAATTGTCCAATCTCTTGTACCACTGCCTCGGAGATTGCTTAAGTCCATACAAGGACTTCTTCAACTTACATAGTCTTCCTTTCCTGGAAGCTAGAATCCTTCTGGCTGAGTCATATAAATTTCTCCCTCCAACTCTCCATGTAGGAAAGTTGTCTTCACGTCTAGCTGCTCGAGCTCCAAGTCATAATGTGCCACTATTGCTAGTAGCACCCTGATCGAAGTATGTCTGACCACTGGTGAGAAAATCTCATTGTAGTAAACTCCTTCCATCTGCGATAAGCCTCGTGCAACCACCCGAGCTTTAAATTTAATGCCCTCTTCATAAGTGATTCCTTCCTTCTTCTTGTAGATCCACTTATTTGTAACAATCTTCCTTCCCTGTGGTCGTTTGACTAGCTCCCAAGTCTGATTCATGTCATGGGATTCCATCTCATCTCACATTGCGGCAAGCCACTGATAAGCTTCACCACCCAAAAATGCTTATCTATAGGACTGTGGCTCTCCTGCAACCACTTCTTCGGCAACCTAAAATGAATACGCCACCATCTCCTCGAAGCCATACCTCTGTGGAGGTACTCCTACAGTCGCTCTCTTCGGTCTACCAGAAGCCAAAGAATTTTGAGCTAGTGCACTGGACTCTAAAGTTTCTGGATCTGCAGAGACATCTTCATCATGTTGATCTTCTCTACCTTGGTGCTCAAACTCACTCTCTTTGAGAGTTTGCAGCTCCACATGTTTATCAACATTCGTGCTACCTTCAACAATAGTAACCTTCAACTTGGGGTTAAACATAGACTTCTCATGAAATATCTTATTTCTACTGAGTATAACTCAATGCTCAGAAGATGACCAGACTCAAAATTCCTTAACTCCATCTCCGTAACCCACAAATACACCCTTCTTTGCCCTTGGGTTTAGTTTACCCTCATCCACATGATAATAAACTAACACCCAAAAACTTTCAGTGAAGAGTAATAAGTAGGCTTACCATACCACACTACATAAGGAGTCTTAAACTCGATACCTGTGTGAGGTCCACGGTTGATCAGCAAGCACGCCATGTTTACTACTTCTACCCAGAATCTTCTCTCTAGTCCAGCATTAGAGAGCATGCATCGTGCTCTCTCCAATAATATCTGGTTCATCCTTTCTGCAAAGCCATTCTGCTTAGGTTTATCTCTAACGGTCCGATGACGAGCAATCCCTCATCCTTGCAGAATTCGTTCAACTCAGAATCGCAGAACTCCACACCACTGTCCATTCGCAGCTTCTTGATCTTCTTCCCGGTCTGATTCTCCAACAATGTCTTCCACTGCTCGAACTTTGTGAAAGCCTCACTTTTCTGCTTCATCATGAAAATCCAAGTAAATCTCGAATAATCATCAATAATAGACAGAAAATACTTGCTGCCTCTAATGGATTCAACTCGTGAAGGACCTAACAGTCGGAGTGGAGGTAATCCAGTATCCGCTTCTTCCGGTGGATACCCTTCTTGGGAAACTTGCTACGATGTAGCTTCCCAAACACACAATGCTCGCAGAACTCCAAAATCTGCACTTTTGTGGCCGCAAAGAAGATCCCTCTTCGATAGAACTTGCATCCCCCCATTCACTCATATGCCCCAGTCTCATGTGCTAGAGAGTGGTCATATCTTCCTGATGAAACTGAGACGATGCAACTGCAGCAGAACCAGACAATACAGACCCTTGTAATGCATACAAGGTCCCACGCTTCACACCCTTCAGCACCTTCCTTGAACCTTTGCTGGCATACACAACTCCACATTGTCCTTTGAAGTTGAAACCCTAATTGTCGGGTAGACTCAAGAAGATCGGGTTCTTTGTCCTTCGTGGACATGTCTGACATCATTCACGGCAAAGAACGAACCATCATGTGCCCGAACCTTTATAGACCCGATTCCAACAACCTTGCAGACAACTCCATTTTCCATGACAACCTTACCACCATCTATATGCTCGTAGGTTGTGAAGCAATCCTTATGTTTGATCTCTCTCGTATGAAGAGAAGACCTGACATCCTCCAACGACACGCTTTCTTTATCAGCAATAAAAGAATCAACGAAATTATCATATGAACTCGGCAAAGAAACCAACAGGATTAGGGTAGCATCCTCGTCATCAACTTGAACATCTATATTACACAGATCCAGCAAAATAGAGTTAAGCTGTTCGAGATGTTCCCTCAAAGGTGTACCTTCTTGCATCCTCAAGCTGAACAACCGTTGCTTGAGATGCAGCTTGTTGGTTAGAGACTTTGTCATATACAGACTCTCCAGTTTCAACCACAAGCCCGCGACAGTCTTCTCAACAGCGACTTCAAAAAAACGTCATCAGACAATGATAGCATGATGGTCGAGTGGGCCTTCTCCTTCAGGGTATTCCACTCATCGTCATCGACCGCTGCCTTCTTTTGTTTCACAGACAGCATCCCCCGCATTCCTTGTTGTTTCAATAAAGTCTGCATCTTGATTTGCCATATAGCAAAGCTGTTCTTTCCCGTGAACTTCTTGATCTTCATGTTCACCGACGTCATTCTTCATAATCGAAACCTTAGCCTGATTTTCAGCCACGACACTGATACCACTTGTTATAAATGTGTTGCTAACTAATCCAGTCGTAGTGGCTGATAGTCCGATTCAAGTCACATCAACAAAGCCATATTCTGAGGAGGACCCTGATGACGAAGCCGGTGAAGAGAAACGAGGGAGCCATCACGCTGACCATCATGGATTTTAGTGGCTAGGAGAGGCACCACGTGGGTCACTAATTTCGGAAAGATGTTGGTCTTTCCCAACAAGATTGACCATTTCTTGTACTCTCTCTCGCTAAAGCAGCAACCCACCGTTGGTTGTGGTGGTGGGGAGAGTGCAGCTTTGTGGTGCGGGGGAAAGATTGGCGGAGATGGAGGACAAGCTGAGTGAAATTTAGGCTGGAGGAGGAGAAATGAGATTTGGTTGATAGGGATAAACATATTTTAATTGGATTTTTTTGGTTAGATATTATATAAGTTTACTATTTGGGCTGGATGAGGAGGCGAGGAGCCATTGTTTTAGGATTTAGGTTAATTTTGGAGGGAAGGGTAAAATCTTCAGTTTAGTATAATTTAGCGTGATAATTTCAAATTTTTAGATGTCAAATATTCTTATAGAAAATGTCAAATAGAAGTTGGATTCTCTATCCTCCCAATACTATATGTACGTTCCCCATATGAACTTACCGAATTGAAAAATGATGTTTCCTGCGCAACTCAAGGAAGGACTTTATGGTCTTTCTCGGAAACTTGGACCAATCATTTTTATGTGCAATCCCTCTCTGGCTCTCTCGGCCAGTGCTTCACTTCGCTTCTTTTTCTATTTGGGTTCTGCTAGAGCTCAGAGTATTTATGGGCTTGGCCTACATTTGTTACTTGGCCCACTTCTCATTCAAAAACATTAAAAACAAATCCTAAAATTAAACTCATAATGGTATTTAGAGCAAACATCAAAGGTTCATCCATAATCCAATTTTCAAAACATGAGGGTTTATCAATTATCACGTGGTTTCACTTTTATGTGAGTAACTATTAGTTTTAGTTAGCAATAATACCTTATTTTGGAATGAATTTTGATGTAAAAGATATTTTTAGTATGAACGTTCAAATAAAATAGTTTTATTAGAATTTTGAAAGAATAAACAAATTGGACCCGAAATCCTTCAAAGCTTCTAAGTAAATCTTGACACAGTCGTTGAAGGCAATCATTGTGGTGGTTGGAATGACATAGATGATAGTGTTGGGTGTTAGATTGACAAGACACTGATAGCAAAAAGATATGATTACGAGAATTAGGCAAAAAATAAATAAATAAATTATCGGATGAGAAAGAATTGGGACTGTACCGATACTTGAGAATTTAGGGGGATAAGAGAATTCATAAGAATTCAAGGGATGTAGAACAAAATTAGGGTTTAGAGAAAACAAATTAGAGAGTGTTAGAGAGGAAGAATAATCTGAGATTTGAGATAATTGATTTAGTAAATATTCTTCAATAATGTAACTGAAGAATACAGTACATGAATAATTAATAATATCAAATTGATCAAAAAAGTATTCATCGAACACTGATTTGGCAGCCACCCAAATTTATTAGAAAATGCATCAACACAATTAATCTCGCAGCTACCCCTTTAAATAACTCCATATTCCAAGAATAATTAATAATATCAACTTAGTAACTAATTGATCATTACCAGAGTAAGATATTAGTGATGTTGAGAAGAAGGAATGACTATGTGATGGCAAAAATATATGTTTTAGTGATGAAAATGAAGAGTTGTTATTAGTGGGTATGAAGATGTTGTTTAGTCGATGAATCAATTAGGACGTCAGATAATTTTATGATATATGTTATTTTTCGTTCTTTTTAAATAATTAAATAATTTATATTTTTTTATGATATCAAATAAAAATGTTTCATTATTCGTACTATTATAATTATAATTTATGGTTTTGACTAAATGTATCCGACCATCGGGTCGGGCCCGAATCTAGTTACCAGTCAGTGAGATGAGCCCGCTGCCAAGAGGGCAACACAGGGTTAGAACTCAGAAGTTTAATTAAAGAAAGAAAAGCCGAGAAACATGAAGACGGGGATTCTTACTACGACGATGTCACATCCCTCGTGAGCCCTACAGTCACCCACGCATCATCATCCGCCGCCGTCAACGATCTCGATCTCCGGCGTCTCTTGAGTATGTAATTAACTATCTAACCTGCTTTTTTTATTCCTATACATATATTTCGTTGATCAATTTATCAATATTCATTTTCTCTGTAGGACTTTTTCTCTTGTATTCAATGGTTTATTTCGTCCTTTTCATTGGATTTCCTAATTGATTTGATGTTTTTTACGTGGCTGATGATTGTCGATCTTTGGCGTACTGTATGTGCAGCGCTAGGGACCTGTGAGTCCGATGGATTGATTTAATTAAAACCCTATGGAACTTGTGTGAGGGTTTTATATATACTGGCCAAACGCGTTAAACCCCAAGTAGAACAACTTAAAAATATCTCGGATATTTACACTCCACTTGACCATACTAAATGTGAGGTGAATATATATGACTGGTCTGGTGAGATATATAGTTACCTTGTGAATGGTATTCTTTGACAAGTAGTATGTGTGAAGTTGGTGGTGGGCAGGTAAAATAGTAATTAATTTAGGGATGATGTTTGCTTCTCTTGTTTCTGTTTGTTTTATATATATGGTGTGGTGTGCATGCAGATGCAGGTGCAGGGCCAGCCAAGTGACATGGAAAGAAGAGAAGGGAGTTGCTAGCTGTACCCTACTAACATATGCAAAACTGCGGTGGTGGTGGACTGGTGGTGGTTGCTTAATTTGGTAGCCAGCTAATAAATCCATCATCTCTTTCTCTTTCTCTTCGCTTCAATATATATACTAGTACTAGCCAAGAAGAAAAAAGGACAAGAAAGGATGAAAGCTCCTTCAGCGGCTTCTGGGTTCCTGGAGGAATGCATTGGGTGCGAGAGCTGTCTGGATCTCAACACTCATACCCAAGACCATCTGCTTCATCTCTTCCCCGCACCAACAGCTCCTCCGAATTGTGATATGGATAATCATTCTGCGGATAAGGAAGAGGAGAGAGCACATGATCATAGTAGCGATGACGTCATTGACAGCCGCTGGAGTGCGATGAAGGAGTATCCGCCGCCAATACCCTTGCTGGCAAGGAGGGGCAAGTTGGCGTCATGGGTGCTAAGGAGGCACTACACAAGCGACGGGAGGCTGGTTCTGACCGAGGACAAAGCGTGTACGTGCGGGGATCACCGCTACTTTAGGGCACACAGAAGCAAGGGTCGCCTCACTCTCCACCTTCAACTCCATAACCATGATGATGATGATGATGATGATAGTAGTGACGAGTTGGAGCCTTTGGGTTTGGGATGTGATGATTGCGAGGGTGCAGGAGGGTTTCACAGGGGGACTGGGATTGACGCAGCAGTCAAGTGTTTGAACAACAACAACAACAACAACAGCAGTCAAATGAGGGCCAAGAGCATATTGTGTGTCCCTCTTGTGCCCACATTGAGGCCCCTTCTGAGTTAGTCCTCCAAATTGTCCAAGTAATTATTTGCATGTTTGAATTTTGAAAAAAATAGACATTTCTTCGTTCTTTTTGGCACTAGTGGGAGATGGGTCCCTTTCTTGTGTTGCTGTGTGATTTGGGTTTTGTTGATGATGAATGAAATGAGGGAGAGAGAGAGGGATAATTAGCTCGCTGCTCATGATATTCATATGTCTTCCTACATTAATTAGGGTCGTCTATCTCTCTGAGCCAACTGTATTCACAGATCAACTCTTCAGAGTGGATTTCTTTTTGTGGGTAACATAACATTGCAACCAAATAACAAATGATATTTGAATCTTTAATTTCATTGTCAATTGTTCTATCGTCAAACAACAACGAACTATATAAATTATTTCCATCTACTAGTTAATTTCTACATTTATATATTCTAGTTTATCAAGATGATAAAAAGTGTAAATTATTAGAGAAATTCATTAAATTTTCACGATGACGATAATCGAAAAAGAAAATTAGTTATCAAAGTATTTGCTTGTGATAACTGATTAGATTTGCTACTGCTAGTTGTCAATGCTGAAGTTGATAACATTTTAAGCAGAGAATCGATTTACCAACCTTTCACATCAAGTGAATTGAAATTGTGAATTATTATTTTGGCCGGATACATTAAGTGTGAAATCATGATAGTTTAGCCAATTCATATAGTTTTAGTATAAACATGAAACTACATATGTAAATTTTTTTATGGCACTCTCTTGAATAAAATTCGGACTACGTACTCATCTGCATTTTCAACAATTATGATCGCACCGCCAATTCTTCCTATTGCACTCTCATTAAACCAAACTCTTCAAAATAATCATTAACCACACATTATGATGCATCTAAGAAGCCAAAGCATGGAGTACTTCGGGTTATGATCATAAACTCACAAAAAGATAAGAAATTAGGGTTTCTTGAGAAAAATTAAAGGATGAAAATGGCGGCGCAATAACTTTTCGGGACTATTGTTTGTGATACCATAGAAGAACTCGGTGGAGCAGAGAGGCTAGGAGAGCAACAAATGAGAGGGATTTCCATTGGCGGCATGGAGAAAAGGCTCGCTATTGAAACGTAACGAACACCGTTGCTCCCTCTAGAGAGAAGCTTATCTGTGTTACAAGTTAGTGGAGTGGACTGTAACGAACCTCTATTCCTGTTAATTATGTGTGTTAACTATAGTTGTACCCATGTAAGGGTTTGCGACCGTGTATGCGGCCATGTATATATGTTGTGGTTGCATCTTGATGTAATATTAAGGATTCTTGACGTGAAATACAATTGATTCGAGAGGTTTCTCTTCTCGTTGGATTAGTCTCAACGTAAACCGTTAAGAATAACACGTAAATCACGTGTTCTTCCTTCGTTCGATTGCTATTTTATCATGGTATCAAAGCCTCTTTGCAAATTTATGTTGTGAGTTGGCTCGATCTGGGTGTTCTTCGTTGTTTTCTGCGCTTGGTTGCTTCTTCTTGCTTATCGTGTGGTTATTCCCAGATTTTCTTCTCAGCTTGCTGCCTCTCGTTTTTTGATGGTGAGTCCTTCTACTAATCTCTCTTGGTGGATTCAGTTCTCCTTTTTCTTTCTCATTTGTTCGCTTCGGTGGTCGCTAGCTCTTTGCAATCATGGATGTCTCCAAGGTCGATGGGATTTCAACTCGGTTTAATGGGAAGAACTTCCCACATGGGAATTTCAATTCCCTGTGTTTGTGCAAGGCTGTCGTTTGTTTTCAATTCTTGATGGTACCAGCCTAAGCTTGCCGCGACAGCTTCAAAAGGAAAAAGGAGATTGGGGGGCTAAAACGCACAGGTTACTACTTGGATTCTCTTGTCCAATTAACCGCCTATTTCTCTTAGCCTCTACAGATTCACTAAGGTGCATGCTATGTAGCGCCATCTCACAGAGTTTCATTCGCAGTCAAAAGCCTCCGCAAGTTTGATCATGAATTTTATTTTACTCGCTGCATCAAGGCGACCTTGATATTCATTCATATTATCAGGAGGTTGTGACTCTTTGGAATGAACAAGATTTACTTACTTATTCTCTCGTGTCGACCACTGCTTCAGCCGAGGTCTTATAGAAACGTGCTAGCAGTGGTCTAATGCATTTTTTGGTGAAACTCCACCCCGAGTTTGAAGGGATTCGTGCTTCCCTGCTTCATCGAAACATCACTAAGCTCGATGAGGTTCTTGGGGAACTTTTCTGTGAGGAATCTCGCCTTCATAGCCAGGCAAAGCGCAAGATTCATGGGTCTTATTCATCTTTGGCCTTTGAGGTTACTCCTGGTGCTCCTGACCCTGCTATTGCCTCTTATGGTGCCTCCGCCTATGCGGTCAATTCCGATAAGGCCTAGTTTCATCGTACTACCAATGGTGAAATTATTTGTCATTTTGAGAGGATTGGGCCATAGTCTTACTCATTGTCCCAAATGTAATGGCTCAAACTACTGTAAAACTTTGGGCCATAAAATTGGGGCTTGTCGAATTTTAGCCAAGAAGGGACGTGCGCCCAAACCTAAAGGACTTATGTCTGCTGTTGTTTTGTCTCATTCGTGGTGGGCTTCCTCGTTTGCTGCTACTCCTCGTCCAGCGTATGCTACTACGATGGGTTCATTAGCTTTGTCGCCATCTGCGCTGATCACTCCAGATGATATCCAACATATGGTACAAGAGGCCCTTCGCGATGTTCTTCCCTCCGCATTGGGTTCGGTTTTTACTGCTGGTATGGATTCTTGTTCTCCCAATTCTTTGCATCTTGATTATGCATCCTTTCACCACATTACTGGTTCTAGATCTTTATTTAGTCAGTTTCAATCTAGGTCCCCTATCAAGTTACAGGTGGATGATGACACGTGTCTGCCTGCTAAAGGCATTGGGGTTGTTCATTATGATGGGCTGAATGTCTCAGATACTTTATATGTGCCCAATCTTATTCCTAATCTTACGCCTGTAGGGCAGTTAGCCGAGGATGGTTGTAGTATAATTATTATGCGAAAGGTTGTGTTGTGTAGGACATGAGAATAGGGATGTAGATCTGTCTTGGGACTAACAGAGGACATCTGGTCCATTACGGGCCTTGTTCAAGGAACCCGGGATTCTAACTCAATGATCTTGTCTTAGGGTCTCGCAACAAAACGGTGTGACTAGGCGCAAGAGTCGTCATGTTTTGGAGCTCATGCGGGTTATCCTGTCCAGTCTTCTATGTCGAAGGGATTTTGGGTTGAGGCGGTGCATACTATTATATATCTGCTTAATCTCCAGGTCAATCCGGTCCTCTCTCAACAGAGTCCCTATGAAGCTCTCTATATAAGGAAACCAAATTATGGTGAACTTCGTGTTTTTGGGTGTGTGTGCATGTGCGTGTGTGTGTGCTATGTTCTTTAACCCCGCAGAAAACTTAACAAACTGGCCCCAAACGCGGTTAAATGTGCATTCGTGGGGTATAGTGACAAACATAAAGGTTGCGTATGTTATGACACTATTAATCGACGTGTTCGGATATCTTGTCATGTCACCTTTTTGGAGCATCTCACCTACTACCCGATTAAGAATCTCGACTCTCGGCCTGGCTTGTTTTTGTAGCCCCAGATCTTCTTTCATGACTCTCATATTGCTGATTTTCCATGTCTCCCCGGACTCCTCCTGGCTCACTTTTACTAGCAGATCCCTTATCCATGGGTACCTCCAACTCTTCGTCCACCTCTCGCTCAGCTGCTTCCTGTGCAGCCTTGGATGCTTCTGCCAATTATGCTTTGCCTTGGACCTCTTCTACAGACCCTACTCCTCGACGTTCATTGCGGGCTAACAAGGGTTTGCCGCCTCCTCGATTGTCTGACTTTATTTCTTTCTCGACTGCTCTGGTTCCCATTACTGCGACCTACAAGCAAGCTTGTGGAAAACGACACTGGGAAGAGGCTATGGCCATTGAGACTGACGAATTAGAGGCCCAACATACATGGGACGTGGTCACTTGTCCTAGAGATCATCATGTTAACGGCGAAGTGGGTTTTCACAGTCAAGATGCTCCCTGATGGTTCTGTGGAACACTTGAAGGCTCAGATTGTGGCAAAAGGTTTCGAACAGGAATTCGACATTGACTATGAATAATTTTCTGTCGGTGTCCAAAATGCAAACGGTTCGGACGTTGTTCGTAGAAGCAACTATGCAAGGGTGGTGTCTTCAGCAACTAGATGTCAAAAATGCTTTTCTTCAAGGCGATCTTAAGAAGACTATTTATATGGAGTGTCCTCTAGGGTATTTGAAGGGAGATAAATCTAAATTTTGCCTGATTCAGCGGTCGTTATATGGTTTAAAGTAGGCGCCCTTGCCTGGTTTGGAAAATTTCACGATACAATCTCGGTTGCTGGTTTTACACAAAGCGACAATGATCCCTTCTTGTTCTTGCGTCGGACAGTTCATGGTCTTACTGTTTTACTTATATACTAGGATGATGTGGTTGTTAGTGGTGATACTGCTGGAATTCAATCTCTTGCTCGTGTTCTCTAGGAATCTTTTAATCTCAAAGAGCTGGGTGACTTGTCCTATTTTATTGGCCTCAAAGTCCATCACTCACTGGCTGCTCTCCTCATCTGTCAGCAAAAATATATTGCCGATCTCTTGGAAACGAATCATATGGATTCTTGTACTCCTTGTGTGACATTGATGGAGTAGAATCGATCTAAAGTTACGATAGAGTGAGGGTGATGATGGTTTCTTCTATCACAGTATAGTTGGGAGCCTTATTTACTTGACACATAACTTACTTTGACATCTTGTATGCATTGCAGATTGTGAGCCAGTTTAAGTCATCCCCCAGGACTTGTCAAATTGTTATGGTTAATCGTATTTTGGGTTACTTGAGCGGTACAAAGGATGTGGGTTTGTTTTTTATGTCTACTAGGCTTCCTGTTATTGAGGCATATGTGGATGCTGATTATGCGGGTTCTGTCGAGACTCGTTGCTCTACCTCTGGTTGGTGTGTGAAGGTTGGTAGTTCCTTTATTTATTGGCGGTGTAAGAAGTAGGATCAGGTATCGAAGTCTTCTATGGGGCAGAATATTAGTCCATGTCTATGGTCATTTCTGAGCATTTTTCGCTTCAACGTCTTCTTGAGGAGTTCGGCCTCGTGTGTCATTCTCCTATGAAGTTATATGCGGATACTACTAGTGCTATTCACATAGAAACTAATCATGTGCTCCATGATCGCACCAAACATATCGATGTCCAGATCCATTATATATGATATCTCGTTGTTGAAGGCCAGATCACTCTCTCATATATCACTTCTGAAGATCAGACAGCAGACCTGCTCACTAAGGTTGTCGCTACTGCACGTCATTGGTTTTGAGCACACAAATTGATGTTGCGGAAGCATCACTAATTTGAGGGAGGGTGTTAGAAGTTAGTGTAGTTATCTCTAATTAACCACTATTCGTGTTAATTATGTGTGTTTACAGTTGTACCCAAGCTACGATTTGCGACCGTGTATGTGTCCATGTATATATGTTGCGGCTGCATCTTGATGTAAGCTTACGAATTCCTAACGTGAAATACAATTGAATCGAGGGGTTTCTCCTCTCCGTGGATTAGTCTCCACGTAAACCATTGAGGATTACACGTAAGTGGAGTGTTGTTCCTTTGGTCAATTGCTATTTTATCAATCCGGAGGATAATCCCCCCCCCCCCCAAAGTGTCGTGATAGGAAAGGCCGAAAGGGGATAGATGTATTGCTTTGTGTATGACGAGGAAAGAATGGAATGTGATGAAAGCCTTCCAAAATAAAAGAGGGGAAATATTTAAAGAATAATTATAATTTTTAGTTAATTTTTCTTCTTAAAGAATATTATATATAATAATTTAGAATAGAGGGGCTAGATTGTCATTTTGCAAGCCTTTTAATGGTCAATTAACAGAAGGGTATAGTTGTTACGTTGCAAAAATAAAGGAGTACATTCGTTCAAAATAATAGTACAATGGTACATTTGTTAACTTGTAATAGCAAATTGGTATAAAATGCTATTAACCTCAAAAAATATATACACTTAACGTTAAAAGTGAAAAGTTTCATCACTGATTTGTATATTACTTTTTGTGCTATATAATAATTTATCTTTAGCATATATTAAAATTGAAAACATATAAAAACAACCTAACCTAAACCTAACAAACGTATCCCCTATACATGCCAATTCTCATCTTCACGTCCCTCCTCTTCCCTCTCTCTTAACTCTCCCCATAATAATAAAAAAATATCATCCTTAGTCTATGTTTCAGGTGAAACCAAATATCCCCCGTCAGACGTGCCAAATTGTTCCAGGAGGTGTTGATTTGATTGAGTTGATGCACCACTAACTTCTAACCAATACGATCAATACTACGATTGTCACCTCTCCGAACAATGTTCAAACGAGGGTGTTTGAGTTTTTGGGGAATCTACGTTAAAACTGCTCCTATAGAGTCCTATGGAGAACTTTGCGACTACGACTACTTCTACCAACTATGGAGATCCTATCTGGAAGGTGAGCTCTAAGAATGAGTTAAAGAGAAAAGGGTAAATTTTGACAGAGTAGTTATGTGTTTGATTTTGGTTGTCCCTTTTCTCTGTCCTTGCATGGTTGATTTTATCTAAAATCAATTTCGTAGTATTCACGCTCTGATTTTGGGCTAATTACACATATTTTACTTCTTATTTCTTGATAGTTTGACTTTATGCTAGGTTGTGCTATTTCTGTTAAATTTCAGGTCCTACTGTGTGTAGGAAGTCACGGTTGGGACGTGAATGTCACATTCATGAGATCATGACAAAGGCCAGAAGGGCGTGAATACTGACTGAGGAACGGAAGATTTGGCATGCCTCGAGGGCCTAAAAGTTGTCACGATTGCAAGACCGTGACAATTAACCACAGACCATGATGTCTAACTGAAATGGTAGCAACTTCTTGCATTTTCGCACTATGTCAAGGTCGGAGGTCCAATGTTACGGCCATGACATTTTGCCCGTGATTGTGACTTACGGGTTGTATAAATAGAAGGAATTTGGAAGAGAGAATGAGAGCTTGATGGGGTTTTAGATTTTTTGGGTTCCCTTCTAGGGTTCCAGCTGAAAAGCCCTAAAAGGAGGAAGAATTCTAGTTAGAGAAAGATCTTTTTCTTATTAAGAGAGAGAAAGTGACGAGCCAAAGGAAGAAGAAGGAGATTTGGGCTTTACATAAGCTAGAGGATTGAAGGTCGCCAAACTCCAGGTGGTTCACCAGGCCCCTGATGAACTCATGCTCCAAGGGTGGAAACATCCGTCATATACCGCTCATTGGGAGGAAAAGAGATTCTCCCCACACTTGTTTTTCCACCATGGCTAAAACATTTAAGCTCAAACCACTGTGGCATGGTTGTGGGTATTTCACGGTTCAAGCACACAAAAATTGAAACCACAACCCCTACCACGGTGGCTACCATCCACCAATCGAAAACAAACTCCACTTGCATTCATAACATAGCACTTGGTGGGAAAATTCTAAAAATAATCACAATTCGGTTCAAACACGCCCACAAAGGCTCACTAAGCTCATGCAATAATCAATACATCAATCACACGAACTAATTCACCAAAGTCCTCACCCTAACTAGATTCAATCATGCCAAGCTCAGGAAATTCAACCTCACTTCACTACCTAACTCGATTCTCCACAATTCACAAAGGAAAAGGTGAAAAACAAACATGGAGACTCAAGTAGGACGAGGGAGGAAGTGAGGTGTGGGCGAGGACGGTAAAAAACTGCTCTGAAATTGACAGGAGAGGGGTCGCCGGAGCTTCGTCGGAAGCTAGTCGGAGACTCACCGCCGGTGACTTAGCCGGAAAAAATGTGGTCCAAATCTCCCCAAATTCACAGCATGGGCCGGTTTTGAGGAGAGGGGACTGGTTATAACGTTGGTTTTTGGTTTTGCTCGTTGGATTTGGGGGGGGGGGGGGGGAAATCGGAAAAGTGACGGAATTTCGCATTTTTCGGCGAAGATTCAAAATTTTCCGGCGAGTTTTTGGTCGTGAAGTGAAGGGTCGTTCACGCCCCTTTTATAGGCAGAGCTCTGAGTTCACGGACGCATTGCCCAGTTCGCGGTCTTAGCGACCGTGAACTCGTGAATGCGTTCGTGAACACGGAGTGGTTGATAGGTGGTGAACATGCATCACCGCCCAGTTCACAGACGCGTTTTCCTGTTCACTGTCTTAGAGGTCGTGAACTCAGCAATCCGTCCATGAACTGAAGTGAAATCAGGGCCCTTCTGCAAAAAAAAATTGACTCAACCTATTCCTCTGTGCCTCCTAATCGATCACAACACAACAATAAACCGCAAAAACACAACACTAGGCACGGGGACACCACTTCACCACTCAAACCCTTCACAAGACACTAAAACGAAAACTAAGGAAAAGAAAACAAACCTCCGTTGGGTTGCCTCCCAACAAGCGCTTGTTTATCGTCATTAGCTTGACGGTTGGGGATCAATCACGAATTCGAGCGTGATGTCACCGAGATCAGATCCATCACACTCTCAGGGCGAGGCTTGTAGCCTCCCATCTTAGGCTCATCGAGTTGGCCGTCTTGGTTGGCCAACCTTACTCCAGGCTACCCCGTCTTTCGGGTCAAAGATCCTTTCATCCTTCTTCTCCAAGCATTCAATCTTGGTCCTTTTTAGCTTAGGACCCTTCTTAACTTGCCTTAGGAGGCTCTCCTCCACTCTCATTCACATCATTTGAGACTACCCCCTTCACTTTATCACTCCTCACCCTAGGATCAATTTCAAGCTTGATTCGCTCCTTACCATCCCTCAAAATTGGGGTTCCCTCATTAACATCTATCAATGCCTTGGCGGTTGCAAGAAAGGGACGACCGAGGATGAGGAGCATATCCGAGTACTCACTTATGTCGAGAATCATGAAATCGGTCGGATAGCAAAACTTGCCCACTCTCACCATCATGTCCTCCAATATACCTCTCGAGCTAATGACCGAACGGCCGGCTAAGGTGATGCTAAGCTTAAAGTCTTAAGTTCACCTACTTCTAACTTTTTGAAAAGCTTGTAGGGCATCACATTCACACTAGCTCCTAGGTTCGCCAACGCATTATCTATATGGTGATCACATATATCAAGAGGGATAGTAAAGCTACTGGGTCGAACCTCTTTTTGGACAAGCGGTCGAGGAGAAAAGCGGAGCACTCCTCGCCTAGAGTTGCATTGGCGAGGCCTTCAAGCCTTGGATTCTTGATGAGGAATCCTTTGAGATAAGGAAGAGGTGGCACATATCCATCCTCCGGCAATGGCTTGCTTGCCGCCTTCCTCTCGTTCCTCGAGAGCTTCTTCTCTCTCCTTTTTGGGATGGTCTCTTCCTTGTTGGACTCTTCCTTCTCTATTTCTTCTCTCGTGGCGACCTCCGAAACCACCTTCACACTCCTTACTTGAAGTGCATTCACCCCAGCTTGATCCTTGGGGTCACCACGGTTTGGGAAGGTAGGGCTCCTTTGGGTCTCTCAGTGAGGATACCAGCAAGGTTCCCGATTTGCACCTCCAAACTTTGAAGGCTCGCTATATGGCTTCGGAGACCCGCCTCAACCGAGGTAAACTAGGTAGTCGCCACATCCATAAATTGCTCGATCTGCTCAAACATTTGGCTACTCGTACTCACAAAGGTGTTCACTAGGTCCTCAAGCTTAGATAACTTATCGGATCGATGTTGTTGTTGAAACCCTAGGGCACCTTGTGGTTGGTACGGTTGTTGAAGGTTTGAGCCTTGAAGTTGGGGCCTTTGTTGGATGAAGGTTGGCCGAGGTTGGAAGTTCCCCGTGGGGCCTTGGATTAGTCGGTGATGCCCAAGCAAAGTTGGGGTGGTTCCTCCATCCGGGGTTATAAGTATTGCTATACGGGTTGTTGACCCTAGCATTTGCCACAAAGTTGATTTGCTCCTCCGGAGTGGTTGCCTACTTCATTGCTTGGCACTCCGCTATCTCGTGGCTAGTTCTCGAGCACCAATCGCACGACATTACCGCCCGTTTTCCTTGCCTTTTGTCTTCAATCATAACCTCAAGCAACTTATCCCGCTTTGCCTCAAGCGGAGCACTCACCCCCATGCTTCTCACTCCCCTTTCATTTCTTCTTCTTCCACTTCTAGTCAACCCCCAATCGTACCCCCTAAGGGCCATGTCTTCTAGGATCTCGGTAATTTGGGGCGGGGCCATATTCATAAACTTCCTTTGACATAAGGAGTCAATGAGGATTTTATCTTCTTGCATTAGACCTCTGTAGAAGTTTTCAATCCGAAACTGTTCCTCAAACTCGTGGTGGGGGCACTGAAGAAAGTAATCGGAGTACCTCTCCGAAGCATCCCTCAAGGTTTCGTCCTCTTCTTGCTCGAAATGTGTAATCTTCTTTCTCCACTCCGTCGTCTTCGAAGGCTGGAAACAACGAGCCATAAACTTCTTGAGGAGGTCGTCCCATGAGGTGATGGACCGAGGTGGGCGGTTTTTTAGTTACCTAAGTGCCTTCCCCGAGAGTGAGTACGGGAAAAGCCTTAGTTGCAAAGCCTCGGCCGGCACACCATTAATCTTCAAGCTCCCCGCGAGCTCCAAGAATCTCTGCACGTACTCTCTTGGTGACTCACTCTCATGGCCGTGGAAGAGGGCATTGCTTTGTATCATAGTAACTAGAGCCGGCTTGATCTCGAAATTGTTTGCCGCCATCGGAGGATGTAGGATCGGCGATTAAATGTCCGCCGGCCTTGGGGCCATGTAGTACCCCATCGTCCTTGGGGCTCCTTCTTCTCCCGCCTCCTCATTCATATGGCAGGCTTGAGAAGCTCCATCTTGCCTTTGGTTACCCGCCATTTCCTCTTCAATGACGGGCTCAGCTTCCACTTCTTCAACTACTTCTCCGCTAACACCGGGACCCAATTGTTGTCCCCCTATTTCACTCATTCTCCTTGCCTCGGCTAGCTCCCTCTCCCTTGCTAGAAGTCGGAGAGTTCAGTTTATGTCCTTGTCAAGTGGTAACAAGGGCGCCGGGTTGCTCCGGGTCATGCACCTCCTACACACAATAGGAAAACACCAAGTCTAACACAAGCAAAGAACTAGGGATGGCAATGGGTCGGGTCGGGAGCGAATAGTGCATATCCTTTACCCTATCCAAAGTACTTTGGGTTTTACCCATACCCACATGGAACCGCTTAGAAAATCAAAACTATGCCCATACCCGTTCGGGTTTTGGGTATCCACGGTTATCCATGGGTATTAATTTCTCTTCATAACTCCAACAAATATGTTAACATTCACATGTATTCTTACATTACGTAAGAGAAAATGTACGGCAAGAATTCACTAGAATGAAGAAAATTAATTAAGACAACATAATTTCATGAAAATATTATATTTATATGCTAAATATAAAATATTTTTGAGAAAAATAATGATTATCTCTAGACAAAATACATATGTATGTGTATAATCGGGCTGGTTCGAGTCAGATAGTGAGAAACCCATGCCCACCCATTACCCGTAATATTCGGGTTCGGGTATTACCCATACCCACTAAATGTCCTTCGGGTTGGGATTTACCCTACCCAATTATGCCGGATTCGATCGGATATCCACGGTTACGGATATTTTTGCCATCCCTACAAAGAATACACACACACTTGCAAAACTTGAAATTAAAAGCTAGATTAACAACCAACAACTTTTTCAGAATAACAGACCGTTCTCCCCGGCAACGGCGCCAAAAACTTGACTCGCTCGTATCTACACTACAATTAAACCCCAACTAGAGCCCAAGTTTTTAAACTCTAATCGGGTGTAGTATAGGGAAAGTATCTATATATCGACACGGGCCGGTCCGTCTACCACTACTTCGGTTGTTGAAATCATTATCTAGCAATAAAACTTTGGTTTAAAGGTTTACCAATTGAACTGAAAGAAAGCAAAAGTAATTTGGTTTGAAAACTCTTTTTTGTGGGAAAGTCACTTGGGTTTCGCTTCCCCCTAAACCGCTACCATGCTACGTGGGTTGGAACGATTGCCTTGGGCACGCTAATCGTGAACCGCAAAGGAAAGCATATGTGGTCGGGGACCACAGTCTCGATTGCTAAACCTAGGTGAGGATGAAAGGTCGTGTCACTCGACCCTCTCGGTTTAGACAATCGTTAATTGGCTTACTTCCTCACACAACTCTAAGGTAGGACGGTTTAACCACGATTAATCGACTTGTTCAATTTAATATTGAGGATTGCCCTAAATCAACCTGGTTTAGGTGGCTTGGAAAGCGGAAGGAAAACCAACTCGATTGAGTCTCCCTTAAAAAGGGTGATTTTCCTCTCTAAACTAGGCTAAGATGGCAAATTAGATTTATAGCACCTAAATGCACAAACTTAGGGTCTAGGCACAAAATATGAACAACCCCTAAGTTGCTAAGCACAAGAATGCAAAATAATGGTGAAAAATACCTCAAACATTCAATTGAACAATGCCCAATATCAATCATTCAAACCACATACAAGAAAACTACATGGTAGGGTTTAGGGTTTCACTACACACAAGTGGGAGGAGGACTACTCCATGCAAGAAAAAGGGAAGAACAAAGAAGAAAAAGGTGGGAACCATCTTTTGGGAATGCCTCCTCTCTTATTCAACCTTGAGCTGGGATTTCCTTGGGAAATCTTCCCAAAACCTCCTTTGAAGCCAAACCCTAACTCCTTCTCTTCGGGTTCTGTTTCTCTCACTAAAATGCAGAAGAAGTGTTTCTCTCACAAAAAGTGACTCTCCCCTTCTCTTTCCTTGCAGCTCAGCTTTAAACACGAGAGGAGCTGAGTTCACGGCCGTGAACTCTCAAACGCGTCTGTGAACTCACGCCTTGCGCCAAAACAGTCTGCATCGATCAGGGAAGTTCACGGGCAACTGTTTGTGTTCACATTCTTAGTGACCGTGAACTCGCCTTGCGTCAGTAACCTTCAACTTGGCTCTGGACACCTTGCGCTTCACGGTCAACTCCACATCTTCACAGTCTTGCGCGACCATGAACTCCTGCCTTTAGCCGTGAACTTGCGTTTTTTCACCTCTTCTCCCGGTTTTTTATCCTTTTCGTCAATCCTTCGACTCCGAGGCTTGTTCCACCTGTTAAATCCTGAAAAGCACTCAAACACGAAGAACCTCGCGTAAAACCAACCTCTAATGAGAAAATTTGGCACAAACATCTAAGCAAACGGGGGCAAAATATGTGGAATTAGGCCCGAATCACCCCACACCATGTAATGCATCATTGATTGACAAAGAGCCGCAAATGGGTCCTTCTCTAAAAATGCATTGAGGTCTGATTTAAAGCATTGGTAGCACTTGTAACTCGTGGATGCTTCATCCACCTTGACCTCGTCCTCATCTTGGACACCATTTGCTCCTTCTTATTCTTCCTCAACCTCCCTTCCTTCTTCTTCAATTTCCTCCCCTTGGGAACGATCAAGATCTTCCCTTTCTTCAGTTATCACTTCCTCTTCCACACCCTCTTCTCTCAACTTCCCATCCATGTCTTCAAGCACGGTTTGGAGGGAAACTTTCCATGCATTCTCTTGATCCTCTTCCCTCGTGACTTGGTCTTCAAAGTAAGTCTCGAGAAGGGGAAAATGATGAGAGTCGCCAATGAGACACTCTTGATCCTCCTTACCATGGAAGTTCTGTAGGATGAGTACTTCTTGTTCCTCATAGTCTTCATTGACCTCCCCTCCAATCTCCACCTATTCTTCTTCCAATTGTGAGGAGATGGCGTGCACAAGTTCGTGTCACCTTCTCTTCTAGTGTCAAACCGGGGGGAGGGAGGGGTTGGAAATCTATGTCGGAGCTCGTTCTTCAAAAATTCTCATGGCTCGCCTCTTTGACTTCCTCTCTTTCTTCCAATGGTAGGAAGCGATTGTGAGCAAGTTGTGCACATGCTTGCTCAACAAGCCCTCCTAGCCTCTCCGTGTGTCGAAGGAGCTCCTCTGATTCCCATAGAAAGGTTGAGTCGAAAGGGTTGGCAATTGGGAGGTTCATGCTCGAGTACCCTTCATCGGCACCCCAAGCAAAGCGCTCCACCATGATCTCTAATTCGCTCTTTGGCTCTGTTTGTGAAGTGGCACATGGTTTGAGGTTTGTGCCATGAAAGTCTCCATGGCCAACTCCAACTTTGATTTCACCTCGAGTTGTGGAGGGAAACACTCTTGATATGGGGGAAGCTTCTTGATATGGATCGTTGTTTCCCGGCAACGGCACCAAAAACTTGACTTGCCACGGATACATGGAGAATTTAAATCCCGACTAGAGTCCAAGTATAAACTCTAATCGTTGCAGTATAGGGCAAGTATGTTTTAATTATCAAACCCGGGCTGGTCCATGTACCACTACTTCAATCGCTTAAGTTGTTATTTGGCAAATGGTTTTGGGTTTAAAACTAAGCAAACTACAAAACAAACAGGTAAAGTAAAGCAAGGAGAATTCTATATGAGAGGACTTACTTGGGTATTGAATTCCCTAGTCTCGTGCTAAGAAACAATGAACGAAACCCTAGTGTGGAGGATGTGTGCAACTAGCTAGGAACAAGCTCTCCTAGTTGATCGATCAAGGATTGCCACAATAAGCTGGCGAGCCTAGCTCTCTTAATCGAACAAATCGAGGAAACCCTAACTCTCTTAGTTGACCAATTAATAATTGTTGCATTAAGTTAGTAGACTAACTCTCTTAACCTTTCGGCTAAGGATTACAACAATAGGCTAGGAAACCTAGATCTCTTAACTTACTAACAAAGGATTGCAAGACCCAACCCTCGGAAGTTAATCCGGACGGCGGAGAGACCAATCACGTCAAAATCATGGTACTACTCCGATACTTGAGGTTTTGGCCCTAGATCAACCCAAAAGGGGTTACTCAAGTGGCTAGGAGATCAAGCTCTCTATGGACAAAAGGGTGATTTCCACATTCTAAGTTAATTTGACCCAATAATGAGATAATGCAAGCAACACTCAATCATTCATGATTAATACCTCAAATATTATGTTGAACACACAATCAACACAATATAATCAAGTTCTTAATTATATCCTAACACGCATCTAGACTAGGATTCACAATACCCAAGTGAGTAGGTAGGCTATTCCATAGCTAGGCAAGGGAAAACAACAAAAAGGAGAGAAAGAACCATGAAGAGATGACTATCTTCCTTCCTTGTTGCTTGAATCTCCCTTGATAAGAAGTAACCTTCAATCTTCTAGTTTAGGGCAAGCCCAAATCTCATTCTTCCTCCTTTATTCTTCACACTAAAAACCTACCAAAAGCTCCCCTTTCTCATTCAGCTCACTTCCCCTTTTATACCCAGATCGACGCCTGTTCACAGTCCCATTTCACGGCCTTGAAAATTCATTCTAGACCGTGAAGTAGAGCAGATTCACACCGTTTCACTAGTTCACTTCACAGTCTGGGGCTGGGGTTCACAGTCTTGAGACCGTGAACTGGTTGGCTCCCATGAGATGCGCAAACTGTTCTGGAACTTCGGCGCTTCACGGTCTAGGCTCTCTTGTTCACGGTCCGTAAGACCGTGACAGCTTCACCCGTGATCCTCTGCTGCTTCCACCCTTTGACTCATTTTTGCTCCTTTTCGTCCCACTTTTGATTTTGGGGTCAATTTCACCTGCTAGGATCTAAAACATACTTAAACAAAGTGCAACCTAGAATAAAACCACACCTCACGGAGTACAAATGCTTCAAACGTCTAAGGAAATCGGAGATAAAATGTGTACAATTGTACCCAAATCACATTGTCGTCTTAACGAAACTCAACTGCTTGAAACGACATCATTGCAAGACTTGTGGCGATGTGGTTGATTAAACAATGTCGTTGTTTTATATCATCAACATCGAACTCAAAACCACGTCTAGCTTACAACCTCATTGGTTTTGTGGCATTGTTCAACCCAAACGCCACTGCATCATTGTTCTGATCAATTCTAGACTCACCATGTCACTTGGACATATCTGGTGGGAAACTTCATGGCCCGATACTATCCACCTTCTAAGACTACTGAATTGAGGAAGTAAATTACTTACTTCGTGCAAGAGGAGGATGAGACCCTTTGGGATTCTTGGAAGCGGTACTCTGGGTTGTTCTTGAAGTGCACACACGACGGCTTTGAGATCATTTCAAGTGTGCACCTTCTACAATGGGGTTTTTAGGATAACCGCCCGCTCATTGATTCTTTCTGCCAATGGGAAAGCTGAACAAGATCCCACCTCAGACAACTTAATTTTTTAAGGAGATGGAAGCCTGTGGGCATGATTGGGGAGTCCCTAGGAAGGCTCAAAAGACAAGTAGCCAAGGTGTCCTACCAATGGACTCTCAGGCCTCCCTCGAGGCCACAGTGGAGAGCAACATGAAAAGGTTCATCAGGAGGTAGTCTTCATCTTTGATTTGACCACTCACCCAGACTATGCTTTGTGGCTGGTGTGGGAGTAGCATCCATGTTTTGGAGGCTTGCCAAGTCGTAATGGAGGCCACCACACCTCAGGAGTAGGTTGACTTGATTGCCAATGCTTGATCAAGCAACCATTCTATTAACAACTAGCTTATAACCTGGCCCGTTAACCGGAATATTCATATTTGATTATTATTATTTTCATGTTACGTTTAACTCTATCAACCCGTTTAATTTTATTGGCAATCCTTCGATCGAGATGATACATAAAGAAAGAATATATAGATCGAACATTTGGAGAAATGTAAAAATGTATCATTGATGTTATTTTCATAATGATAATTAAGTCCCCGATAAAATGCTATTTGTTAGTTGATTGCCAAGAAAGATAGAGTATTAAAGTTCACTGAAATTCCCTCACAGACCATAGATAGTTTGAAACTAAATCTTAAACCTCGCAATCCTACATAAAGGTTCAATGCTCTCCTTTTAGGAACAATATGTCACTAATCAAAAGGAAATTGAGAGTTGTTGATTCAAGTCAACTATATGCTAACAACTCGGCTGAGAGGGGACCATCACAACTTGAGAGCAAACGGCAAGATTAGGGTTACCTCCAATATACTAATAGATCCTATCAAAGTAATAAAGAACAAAAATTAGACACTCCTTCTCTATCAGTTCCAGTAGGTTGAATAAAGAATCGACCGACCTACTTCAGTAAATCAATCGATGATTCCTAATTTTTAGATAGAATTAGGTTGCGATAGCTTAAAAAAACCATAAACCTAAAGATCCAATAGCCACCACTATCCGTTGTACAATAAAAATTTTATCCACTCTATCTTCAATCTCAAAAGATGTTTCAACCAAAAATTGAAATTTTAATTCTCCTTCTGCACCTCCATTTATTGAACTCCATTCTATTCACCATGGATTGATATTGGAGTTGAAATCTTTTACTTTTCCAGTTTAAATCCCCAAGAATAAAATCGTAGTGCCAACAGACCAGAAGATTGATTTTCAAAGGCGGCCTTGTACTGTGAAGTGAAAGGGCGCAAACTATTGCATGATGAAGGGAATTTCAGAGAAAGTTAGAAAGAGATAAGAACAAAGATAAAAAAAAAAGTACAAATTTAAATATGAATTGAAAAATGTAAGGATACAACACATAGTAATAGAATTATTTTCTTCCATGTTGGCCAATTTGCAATTTACCTTTAGCGAAAATTAAGGAAAGAGTAGTGATTTTAGAATTGAGAAACTATATAAAACTCTGCTATGAAAATTGCAGTATCAAGCACCATAAAAATAAATATGGTAGACTTAGTATGCTTGCTAATCATGATGAATAAGTCCTCTTATTTTCAGAGTGTCACTTCGTGTATGTTATGTATTTAAAAAGATACAAAAAGTCTGTTCAGTGTAATTGGTTGTGATTGTTGTCTTTGTTTGAAGAGACTCGGGTTCAAATCTTGATATTGACATTTTTATATGGAATAAATAATTAATTGTAAAGACAAAAATGACCTTCCTACTTTCACTCTGGAAATTTTAAATAGAAAAAAGTAGACAAAACCCTTCGCAATCTGATCCTACTCAAGAGAGGATGAGCAAGCTTGATGAGAGATTAGCATGCTTCTTTGTAGAGTTTGGAGACTGAAATGGGAAACTTCATAGAGGCCCTTACTGCTAGAGCTCTAAGGACACTCTCGGATCAAACACTTCTCAATCCGAAAGACCCAAGGGCATCATTATATGCTATTTTGTTGAGTGGAAAGGTGGTAGAAGATATCCCTCCGCTAGAATCGGCAAAGGTGCCGGAGCAGGAAAAGAAGGCAGAGGTTCGAGCACCAAAATTGAAGCCTACAGTGGTTGAATTCAAGCCTCATCTACCTTTTCCTACCCATATGTGTAAAACGAGTGTTGCACACAAATAACCTTATAAAGTAAGATAAATAAGCACGAGTAGACTCATTGCTACGACCCAAGTATATCACAATATGGGTTTTGTCCCTTATCGGGTAATCTTCAATCTTGAGAAGCAAACACACAATCGAGAAGAGTAGGGAGAGACGCACGTACACAATATGTTTTGTTAACTAAGTTCGACCTGTGGTTTTATGTCTTAACTCCAAGGTGGCTTACCCTTTGAAACCTAGTATTTAGGGTGTTGTCTTATTCCAATATAACTACAAGTTGAGTTCTTTTGGATGGAACTCATACCCTTGAGGTCAAGTATTCATAGTGCACATGCATTACAGAGGAAAATGTTTTTTTTTTGTTTTTGTTTACGTAAGGTTGAAAATCCCCGACTAAATTTAGTCTAGATAGTTTCTCTAAGACACTTGTGCTTACAAATCATTTCTTTTATGCCATATTTGTTGGATATCATTGCTATAGGCTCCTAGACATTTCTCAGGACATGAACTCTGTACTTGTTGGGACATAATTTTTTTCCTTTGCTACTTGCTGTATTTTAGGGAACTGTCAAAAAGAATTGGATGCCCACGGCCTTTCTCTGCATAGTTTAAAGTCTCACATTGATTTTGTTACATTGAGTGGGAAGGAATTTCTATGGTGCACTAAAAAATCATGTCTGGGTTCAAAAAATACTTAACAAAATAGGCGAAATTAGCACGCGCAGACCCGTTGTTGCTTAAAATTTTCCATTGATATGATTGGATGACAGAACTTTTGTACCCTGTAACAAAATATTTACATAGAACTTTACATCATGAAACGCCTCCCCCAATCACTTCAACGCAGGAGACAGAAGCAATACGGCTCCGGCTTCACCACATACAAACACCGTAAATTCTAGTATTGCCATAGCGTTGCTTCCGCCTCCTGCTACCAATGCTGTCGCATGCTGCCTATTTTAACAAACTGAACCAAGCCAACCTCACGGCACTGTACAATTACTACCTCAAGTAAAATATACAACACCTTAAATCAACTGTCTGGCACAGCACAGCAGCAGTAAGCTAAGCACTAGCACTAAATCTCAAATTCGATTAACCCCAACAGATCTTAAGAAACCTAATAATTTTGCTACTTAGCTCTCACGGTAGCAATGGTCCACCAGGACATGATGCTTCCTGGTCGTCGATTGTTGTTTGCTTCTCCTTTGGAAGGCAATCTACTGGAATGTAAAAATAACCTTTGGGTAACTGCTGATTCCTCATGCTTGCTTGATCAGAAGTCATCACCAACTCCTTCTGCAATGTTTCTAGACGCTGCAAAGTCAATTCCCAAAAAAACCGACAATTAATGGAAAAAAAAGAATACCCCCAAATCACCAAATGCTTGTGAGCAATATATGATAGGATGAATTATAAATGTGGCATTTGATACCTTCCTTGATCTTGAAGTCGAGTCTACTTCATCTAATAGACTACGAACATGGAGACCAGATCTTCTGGGGATTTGCTTCCCAGCAAATTGCAGCCTCGGTATTGGTCTATTGCTGTTGAGTGTATGTTGGGAAGTAAGACTGTTCTCATCTGTATTCTGCTTGGTCTCAGTAGACATGGTGACCTTGAGCCGTGTCTTGACAGAGGCAGCACTGTCCACTGTGATTTCATCCGATCTCTGAATTGCGGCATCACTATAACCATCTGTCGTGTTTCCCTTGAGGGATGTGGTTGCTGACTCTGAACTAGCATCAGGATGGAAAAAAGGGTTTTGGACAAGAGCAGAATGAGCCGTATGGTCCCTTTTGGAGGCAAGTATGCTATGAGAGCAGATCACCAAATCCCGCTGTATACAAATGAGAGAGCTTCCAAGTCAAGCTAATAGAACTAAAAACAAAACGAGTCATCTGCAAATGATCGTAACTATTTTTTGAAGACCGGTTTCAAATATATACTAATTATAGGCTATGTTTGGTTGAAAAATAATATACTTTGGAACCATTACAATATGTGAAGAATGTTAACATAAATGATCGTTCAAAAATAATAATAATTAGTATTATTATATATGGCTAATACCCATATAGCATTACATGGATTTTTATTTTATTTTTTTGTGATTGGCTTTATTAGGATAGCTAACAAGAAAATGGAACTTATTACACGTAATACTAAAATGATGTATCATTATACAAATGACTCATTGAAATGACTTCAAAAACCTTTTAACAAACAACACATTTGGAAATGTCTACATTGTCAAATACCTCATTAGCCAAATCTCTATATATGATCAAATGACAAAACAAAGGACCCCTAGATGCACTAGCAGTTCTCATCCAACTGAACATAAAAATGGCTATCTACAATCCACTAAAAAGAGACTGTGACTCCTAGTTCTATTTTGTCCAGCAAAATTATATTGAAGAAATGCATTTGAGTTATTAGAAGCTATCCTAGAATCATTAATGAGAATACCTACCTTTAACTTCTCACGTTTGATAATTCTTTCACATAGAAGGCGCAACCTCTCCAATTCAACCTGGGAATACAGAAAAAAGAGGAAAACACACGACTTGTAAAAACACTAATCCATCGTGGCTACTGATGTTAACAGAATGTCAAGTGACAACCTAAGGGAACACAATTTACCCTGATTTGTTTGATGCTCTTTAACTCATCAACGCCATGCCTCTGTGATTCAGCCAACAAATAACAATGAATATATAAGCTAACCATCTCAAAATTAAAGCCACTAGCACTCAAATTCACAGACAAATGACAACTTTCAGACCTTCAATCTCTGCTCCAAACTATGCTGCTGACAGTAAGCCTTGTGCTGAAACTTGCCACTGAGGAACTTGACATTCATATAAAAACCCACACTTCTTGCACAAGAGGGATGAAATGTAGTCTGACAATGCCCATAGCTACACTGCAGAAATGAGGTTGTACTCAATGATTTGCAGCAAACATCAATAACACCCAGCAAGTTATAAATATAGTACACTAGTGGAAGGAAAAAAGATCAAGCAGGCTCACCCGTAAACAAGCACCATGTTTACGACGGCACACGCAGCAGATATCAGGCCGTTTTAGGAGATCTTCCTAGAAATAGAGTTAATTAAGCTGTTAATACTGAAAAGAGCTTCCACAGAGATACTGGATACGGAAGATATAGAAGAGCAGATTCTCATTGCAAAAAAGAAGAAAAGAAAGGATATAGGCCCAGCTGACATTTACTATTTGCGAAAACAGAAAAGAACCAATGATATCATAGAAGTTGAAAAGGCAGTCTATAATTGTTTCATACCATTCCTTGAACAAGATTTACTTGACCCCTTCTGAACACTGACTGAAGCAACCACTGCGGATGGTAATGGAAAACAGTTGTGCATCAGGGAACCAACATAACACCAATCAGACTATCAAGAAGTAACCTAGGAGCTCACCTCTGCACAGAAGGCATGGACCCACTGACCATTGATGCATTTCCGGAAAGCCCCAGTTGCACCGCCACATAAACCACAATCAGCAACAAAATAAGGCTTTTCCCAGAAATTTAAAGAATGACCTCCAGACCTCCGGGATGATAACAAGTCTTCACATAATTCACAGTGCCATGGACCTGGAGATTCTTTGACATTGCGATAACAATCCAGATGAACTGCAACCTGTTAGAAATAAGCTTGTTGTTACTATGATGCAGAAATATTTCTCACAAAACTTATTGACGTCTGAGTAAACAACCCACAACCTTACAACTGGAACACACTACGATACAGTTCAGTATTGTCTCAGGCCGCCTACAAATATCACATGATCTAGGATGCTCTTTGGAAACTTTAGGAACCGACTGAACAAAATCAGAATATTTGTCAGATGAGATCCTTGGAAGTGCCACCCTTGATAGTGTTCCTTCTGGACAAGGAATTGACTGAGACGATAAGCCAGGCCTCCCACTGGAAACATTGAGCTTCTAAAAAGAAAGATAATCATTAACAGAAATATATCTCAAAATAAGATCGATTATTAGCTTGCAATACAAGGAAAACAAATTGCACATGCATGAGAGACCAACCTCATTAATTGTGCACTCATCAAAAGCATCTTTCCTAAGGAAAGAAGTTCTGGACGAAGCAGCTGCAGCAGCAGTTGCAGCAGCAAGAATAGCTTGAGCTTCTTTATGCTTCTTCTCCTTCCTTCCCCGTTTCTTTGCTTCCCTGAGTTCAAATATGTACTGATTAACAAGCACCGAGTCCCATGTTTGCTTCCTTGAAGCATCAATCTCGTTCGGTATGCTCTTAGATAGATTACAAACCAAATTTCCTGCCAAGAAAACAAAGGATGGACAACCTTGCATTAGCTATCCAGCATAAGCCCCAAAGAGAATTCTCAGTAGAAGTAGTTGCAGATTTCAAAAAAAAATTGAAGCCATGTCCGACATTCATGGGGAAGCAATCTTATTCACAATATCCAGTTATTTCAACCAAGGAAACAAAGAGTAGAGCAACCGCACAACAGAGAACATAATATCAAAGGACACATAAAGGTACCCGTCATGTTCTTCCTCTGAGCTGCAGTACTGAGCAGCTTATGCTGAAAATAAATTATTTCTCCTTCAACTTCATCTGCTGGAGACAGAACTCTCAATTTAGCATCCTTAAGTAGCTGCTCAGAACTGCCTCCATTGGGGTCATAAACATTGTCATTGCACTCTGCATATTTGCTCTTATGATTACAGAAACCGTTTACATTTGCAGAAGCCTCCAAACCAGATATTTCTACCTCCTTGAATCCTACATGTTTATAAAATCAGCAGATGACCATCGAGGTACAGAGGTGAATAAAGCCAAAAATAAGAAACCTCATTTGCCTTCGTACCTTCACAGTCACTAGTTCCACCATTGAAGGGCACTCTTACGTGCAGTCTTATTAGTTCCTGATGGATACTAGGGTGAATATAAGTGCTGGAAGATGCATCCATTTTCCTATAGTAAGTGAAAGAGATTAACAATGGGGGGAAATCCACTATTTGCATGAGAAACTATTTTGCTTTCAGACACCAGGAAAAGAAATCGAAATCCAAAAATATTTTACTTCCCAAAAATATAATGTTGTGTCATGAGATTTGTGAATCACAAGTCTGCAAGTTGAGAAATTTATGCAAAATGGTGACCATACATCAGATCAGGGAGAAGTGCATCAACATCAGACTCCACCAGAATTTCCTTCTGCTTTAGTGCCATACCAGAACCTTCTCTTTCTGTTGACTCAACCTTTCTTAAAGAAGCACACTCTGAGAAATCTCTCATGCTGCCTGCATAACACATGCACTAGTGTGAAAATACAAATTGCAAACTGTGACATAATAGCTATTATTATACCTATCAAAAAAATAATTTGTTCAGCAAAAATAGTGATACTGATATTTACCTTCATGTTCGGGCGAATATGGTGCTTGCAACTCACTGACACTATCATTTAACAATCTCTGCAAGACATAATTCCTAATTAAACAGCACATTATATATGTAAGCTGGATACAAGATTTTCTGACAAATCATTTCCCTTACCGACACAATTCACCCAAATGGTTTATTACAAATACTACATATTTTCGGTCATAGCAACAACAAAATACATCAAAGTGGCAAATTATCAATGGATATTATTAAGATTGTCAACAGAAAGCTTGTAAAGGAAGATTATTAAGATTCTAGAGACTATTAATAAGGAAAAATACTAGAAATGAAGAAATCTAAAGAACAAAGAGACATACATTTACTACCCCGACTAGTAGGATCTTCTAGGACTAACTGTTTCACAAGGGAGACACACACTGAGAGGATGAAAAACAAGAAAACATTTATGGTGATATCCTCGCATCAAATAAGAGGAAGCATCAACAAAAGCATCACACATCAACAGAGATGAAGATGACCGCACCCTAATAAATGAATAATTAGCTATAAGATAACCATTTCACCTACAATGGAAGTAGATGCTTTGTTTGCATCTTCTGGTTCTTCATTGACCAGCTGTTCTACTCTTAAGTCAGTCCCCATACCATTTTCAGCCACCATGTCCTCGGAAAAGCAACGCGTTTCATCATTCTTGTGAAACTTAATGTTGTTTTTTGTTTTTCTCCATGGAGGAACTGACTTTATAGCTACAGTACCTGTCATGTCAGACGGTTGCTCTATCATGACATCAGAAAAATCGCAAGTCTCCTCAGACGTGGATAGCATTGCAGACTTAAGCTTAACTTTTAAATTCTTTAGGGAGGCACCCATGCAAGTATGATTACTAAGCCATTTGACTATTTTGCACCAAACTTCAGGGACTAATCTGTCTTCCTGCAATATGAAAGGAACTAGTTGAGATGAGGGCAGCTATTATGAAAATTTTAGAAAATTATTCTAGGATTTCAAGTTTTACCGCAAGTATTGCAGTTAAGGAATCAGGTGAGCAGCCCAGCTCTGTCGCCACATCTTTCCCGTTGATTACTCCAAGATGAATTAACTGTGTCAACAAAAAAAAAAACGGAAGTCAATCAAAGCGAGATATACACTGGATTGAACACAAGATCCTATAATAAAAAGGACTAGACTATTCTTCAATCACCTTGGTCATCACAAGGGCAAGACTTAAAGAGCCTGATGAGCTAGGATCCTCAATAACAGGTCTCTGGGACGTGAACAGATTACTCCTCTGGAATGTATCCCCATCTGATAAAAGTTCCACGTTTTCTTTTGAAACAAAAGACCCAAGGCCATCTTGATCAAAGTCTCCAGATTTATCTCCATTTTCACTGATCGTGTGATGCTTATTTGGAGACAGCTTGGCCAAACTATTGTTAACACCAGAGCCCCTTTTTAGAATCAAAGAAGCTTCTCCAGCTTGAAAATTGTCTTTGCCATCAAGAATCCCAGAGTGCTTGGAGCAAAAGGCACGCAATTCAACCTGCGGATTCAAACAGAATGAGAGTAGGCAATCCTAAGTTAATTACATGGAATAATCCAACCCGATATAGAAGAAACTTTTGTCGTAAAACCGTAAAATACTGTTGCTAGGGCATGCTATGTCTTAAGAATGGGTGGAGGGGAGGAAATAGCTTACACTATCATGCCCATAGTTTCCCCAAACCTCTATCCTATGTCTTGCCTCCCTTGCACATATAGGATGGAAAGCAAGTCTACAAGTTCCTGAAAACCCAAGCAAGAGGAATGATGTAAGCATGTGAGCTTATTAGGGCTGTAGAAGGCAAGAGGAGAGTGATTAAATGACCGATTTCAAGGGGTGACAAGTTTAATCACAACAAAGTAAACAGTCAAGTAAAAGATTATAAAAAAAATTGCAATAGAATGACTTATCGGGGGACAATCAGGCATGAACATGAAATATATGACATTACACATCATTCCCAACAAAGCATTCAAACACATTGGCCAAATGAAAACCAAGCTCAGATAGTAAATGTTGACATAAACCCAGATCAAAACCAACAACGCGATATTGAGAAGAATATGCTCTACTCTAAGGAAAAAGGGTAGAAGGGGAAACGAGAAGCGCAGTGCAACTGAATATAGGCAGAAGACCAAACAGCATGACAAAAAGCTAATATGGAAATACAGAGACCTGATAGTGCTGAAGACAGCACCTAAAAAGGACTGACAAGCCCATTAGATAGAGAACTCGGGAAGAAAACAACAAGAAAAAGGAAGAGGGAACAATAAAAATAGAAATTGAACCTCAACAACAGAACCAACTATTTATTAGGGGTACCAAGAAGACAAATATTTAAACTAATGCACGGGTACAGAAGCCCTAATCAGACTCATGGGTCCAAACCAAATTACTAGTACTTAATGATATAGAATCGGTTACTGAAGAAAAGAATAAGAATGATAATAATAAGCATGCCTGATCCAAAAGCAATAAACTTAGATCAATATGTAGTAACTAGAGTTCAATGGCACAACATGACAACTACCAAAAGACAAAGATTGACAAGCCAGAGTGCCCTTGAGAAGCATATCTAGCTTAAAATCATGCATAAACACCGAGTCTTTACAAGCAAATCATGTAAAAGGCCAGCACCATGATGAATCAACTACAAGTAGAAAACAGCCCTGAAGTTGTGATATATTCACTTCTGGTTCTAGAACTAAGAGATACAAAGTAGCCAAACAATTTCAAATCCAGCCACAACCAATAAAAAAGGGAAACAGTAAATTTAAAAAATAAAGTATCGAGAACGCATACCATGACTGCACCGAACACATGCACCACATTTCACCTTGCACACATTACAGACTAATTTCTTATGTGTATCCTTGATGCCGGAAACATTCATAATTGGCTCCATCTTGGCCAGATCCTCCACATAAACCTCAGGCATCCAAATAGAACAAAACAAATGCACAAACTCTGCTTTGGAACTACCATTCTGGTCACCAACTGGTTTAGAGGCACCGCCCTGCTTCGGGCAAAGAACACATGGTTTCTTCTCCATATCTTTATCATCGATGTTCTGCTTACATCTAGTACAAAACCAAGGGCTGCCTTCATCACCTTGCACACCATAACATTTACTATGCACAGCAGTATGGCAATAGAAGCAAACGACTAATTTATTCAAACCATTCAACAAGTCGCCCTTGCAGCAGAAATCACATATTAAAGAGTTGCCTTCACAAGGTAAACCAATCAAAACCTTGTCCAGCCCAGAATCACCACTTAACAGCTTCCGCTTCTTGGCCGGACGTTCTGAAGTCAACAAGTTTCTGTTCCTACAGCCCAAAACCCAACCTAAGCCGCCAGAAAAATATGAAGGGGAGACGTAGCTACTGTCTGCAGGAGGCAAAAGCTCAGTCGCATCAATTTGAATTGCCAGCCTATCAATTTCCATACGCTGCTGCTGCCCTTCTTGTTGCAACTCACTTTCTGAAACCATCCCAGTTCGGTTCTCCATCCAGGCATTCAGATCAGTATCAGGATTGTCTGGGTTAGACCAGGACTCAAATCTCTCTTTTGTCCCATTTCCAATGTTTGGAAGTGAAAAACAACCTCTAGCATCTAGGGACCTAAGAGAAGAACATAGCTCAAACAAAGCATCAACATCTGTCAGTCGCAAATCCCTAAAGTAATGGCCAGTCTCAACCCAAATGTTCCCTCCTTTAGCACGTTCACCTGCCCGGGATGACTTCTTACCACTGCTGTGATGTGACTTCTTGTTCTTTTTCCTGCTTGCAGAATGCATCAACAAACTGGCCAGTCCACTAGGCAAAGTAGTCGAAGTGGAGCTAACCGAACCAGGAAGTTCTTCAGGAACATCAAACGGTGACCGCTCGCACAACGCTTTACGTGCCTGTGAGAAGAAATCAACGTCCAGCGACTGAACTGTCTTCTTTTCCATTGTGGTGGGTACCTCAGGTTCGGCAGCGGCCAGAGAGTTTGGCGCAGTAACTCTACAAATAAGGCGGCAAGGCCTCTCGCCGGAGCCGCAACCTCCATCGGGACCCCTACCCATCATCTTATTCTGCCCGAGGCATTTGGGTTACAGTACTTACCACCATTACCAAAACCAAAGAACGCCAAAAAAGTATCCGTTCATTCGATACGCGAAGGACCTAAACCTAATTCCTCATAGCCAGAAAAAAAGCTGGGCCATTTGCGAAACCCTAAGTTTACAAGCCCCGCCTAATATAGTGACCATAAATCGACCACTGCAGTGGGGTTTCAGTGTGCACCAGAAGATGGATAAGAAAGCATAGGACCGTGGGGATGAGGGCGATGTAGCGTTAGGAGTTTCGATTGCCTGGCGAGCTGGGGATCCGTATTTCTTGTGGTGGGTTGCTTATTTCCCCCGACCTTTGTTTTCGAAGCAGTTCGATTTCGCTGTCGAGAGAGAGAGAGAGAGAGAGAGAGAGAGATTCGCGTTTTTTGCAGGCAGCAGACGATTCGTTTCGGTAGGAGAAGATATTTTAAGCGTGTTTCTATTTGTCGTTGTAAAACGAAAGAAATCAGATTCATTTTTCAATCAAAAAGTACAATGGCTAATGCTAAACGGGGCAAAACTTATAAAAATAAAAGAAAAATCCCTTCGCTTGTCTAAATTTTAGGATTCGTATGATGAGATTTAAAAGTTAAAATCAATCATTGTAAGTGTACGGAAAGATATAACGGGAAAGTTAGTAGTAGGATGTTTATGATGAAATTGTGGTTTAACTGTGTTTCATTCGTTTCATATCACTAAATACTGTATATCATTTAACATCTGATAGTAGCTTTTTTCTTCTCGAATCGCCGATGTGGCACAGTTTTTCATGCATTACTTATAACCCAATTATTTGAAACTCTTTCCCTCCAAAAGAACACATGTATCAACCAAAAAACTAAAATCAAAACAACACACCACAAACCCAACAACATTCTTCTTCATTGGTGAGTATTTGTCGGATTCCGACGAGGTAGTTGGAGCCACGAGCTTCGTCAATCTCGGTAGCCATCGTAGTCAGATGCTCGAAAGAAGGTAATATGTTTGAACAATTTTTTTTTATGGAAAATCAAATCGGATGGGTTGAAATATGGTTTGGCCATGGATCGGACTCATCTAAATCTCGTCCCAACCATAGCATAGACGGGTAAATGGCATGGCTCGCCGTCCAGTCAGACATCCCTAAACCCGTCCCCCTTATGGTGTGGATGGGTTTTCAAACCCCATGGCTGATGGCCGGGTCAGAATTTCCACCCTCCCAGCCAACGCTCAGGTCGGATTTTCACCCAAGTCCAGTCGTCATTTGGGTCGGATTTTGAAAATGTCTCGACCGGATTGTGTTGGATTTTGGACAAGTTTTTGCAAAAAAAAAAATCAACTATATTATTCTATTATTTATGTTTACTAAAATGGTTTTTTTATTGTATTCATTAGGAGGGAGAACAAAGTTGTAGAACTTACATACTTTTTTGTCACTACCATCAAATAAAAAAGTGGTTGTTATGAGTGATTTGATAAGTACTTCATTTTTCGTTGTTTGATAGGTTTAATATTGAAACATCAAATTAACATGTTTGATCAATGAGCGATTTAGTTATGTTTTTATCGTATATTTTTGTAAGGAGGTTACACGTTGTTTGATAGGTTTAATATTGAAACATCAAATTAACATGTTAGATCAATGAGTGATTTAGTTATATTTTTATCGTATATTTTTGTAAGGAGGTTACAGAGATGATGAGGGTGAAAATTTTGACTACACATCATTGTTAATAAGCGATGATGTTAATGATACCCACGACAAAGTAGCAACAAGGAGATTGCATAACGTAATAGGTTTTTCTTGGAGGCGAGATCAATTAAGCAAAATCCTGGAGAAAAGAGTCGAATATGTGTTTGTGTGTGTGTGTGTGTGGTGGCGTCTTCGGAGCACTCACTTGTGTGTGTGTGTGTGTGTGTGTGTGTGTGTGTGTGTGTGTGTGTGTGTGTGTGTGTGTGTGTGTGTGTGTGTGTGTGTGTGTGTGTGTGTGTGTGTGTGTGTGTGTGTGTGTGTGTGTGTGTGTGTGATGTGATGTGATGAACAATAACATGCATGAATTTGCACAAAAACCATTAAAGATTTACTTAAATCTGAAGGATTTAGAGTTTAGAGATTTAAGGTTAGGGTTAGGGTTTACAAATTGGAATTTAGGGATAGAACTCAAAATCGGAGGTCTAGGGCTTAGGGTATCCGCTAATTAGTTATTATTATATGTTATATCATCATATTACACTAATTCTACAAATTAAAATTCAAAATCCGACACCTTAAGACTATCGTGTTGCATTTGTAATAACCTCGCCTCGAGTGAGTCGTATTGTGTTTGTGTGTGTGTGTGTGTTTTTGTCTCTCCTTGAAGCGCCAAATCTCCTACCCCGGAAACAATTTCAACTTTCACTCACCAAACCCAAGCGGTAACATTATTCTACCCCTATCTTACGTCATTGAGGGGAATGTCGAGCTTAAGTGTGTGTGTGTGTGTGTGTGTGTGTGTGTGTGTGTGTGTGGAGGGGGGGTTACTATTATGCTTGTGTGAGTGTGATTTATTCTTGGAGCCTTGATGTATGCCCAAATTTGAAAATTTTGAGGGCTCCAAGCAATGTTTGCATGATCAAAGTGGCCAGTTTGTGGGAAAATCTCGTGTTTGTTGCCATTGATCTTGATTTGTTGCATGTGATCGAGTATATCCTATGATGATGACCGAGAGGTCCATTAGGATAGTGCAAAAGTTTAGTTCTCATGTGTGCATAAATGAATGGATGTTTTGACTCGATTACTTGTTGACTACAATTTGACATGCATTGTTTTTTGTGAATTCTAATAGATGGTTGGGTGACTAGGTCGCCATGTGAGCTTTGAGCCGATCATTTTCTTCTTGTGTGCTTAGATCCCTCTTACCATGGCGAGTAACATCACAGTTGTCATTAGCGAGTATGATGGAGGCATATGATTAGTCCACGCCCAAATGTTGATTGTCCCGAAATGTGTTATCCACTAGTCAACCCCTTTGAGTCTTGTGACTTCGAGGGTCGTTCTTAAGTTAGAAGCTTCATGCTTGTGAGCTTAATGGTGTTGATAGAACGACCCCCAATCCTTTCTTCGTGTCCAAACATGAGCCGTCCTTGTGTCCCAGAGCTCTCACTTTTGAGTTTCCATAGAGTTTCTACATAGGAGGTTTGTGTGCGGTTCTTGCTAGTAATGGAAAAGGAAGTGTAGTGTTGGAGTGAGTTCTTAAAAAAAAAAAGCATTGCTTGTTAAATGTACAGGTGGCAGAGTTTTACTCTCTAGTACCCCCTCCCCCCCTCAAAAGAAAAAGGAAAAGAAAAGAAAGTAGAAAAGAAAAAAGGAATCGAAAAAAAGAGGTAATTAAACGGGGTAAATAAAGTAGAGAGTGTCACAAAAAATCAAAGTGTATGCTCTGGGAGTGGTTTCTTGGCACCCAAACCATTGAAACCCCCACATTGTTTTAGAACTCCTCCACTTACAACCGAAATGTGATAATAAGAGTAGATCGAGGAAGAGTGCTTAAATGTAGTTCGTGATGGGTGATAGTTTGGAAGGGAGAAGGAAGGTTTTTGGCCGATGCTAGTGGCCCTTGGTTGAAGAGAAGGTTCTTAGTCGAAACCATATATCCTTTGGGTTTAGGTTGAAGATGTAGAACCTCATGTCGTGTTTACCACCACCCAAAAATCCTTTTACCCATGTCCAAGACAATTGCAGTCATTTGAACCCGTGTCTAAGACCTCCGGACAAGCTAGTGGTGACAACCATCCCGTGAGCTCTAGCATTTAGAGGTTACCGCCGTGGTATTGATACGATAGGGCCGAGTGTTGATGATTGTGCACATCTTTTGCACCAAAAAGGTCCCGACCCCACTGGTCTTGAGAGTGAGTGATTCATTCTTGTTTTGCATGCCATATCATACCCCGGTGAGGACCTTTGTTGCCTTTCCATTTGTTCCTCAGACTTGAATTCTATGAATGATTAGCTTTGGTTGATAAGTGGTCTTGTTGAGACTTGCATTGATCCATGACCCAGTTGAAAACTTTTTGTTTGCCCACTTTTGGTGGCCTCGAATGTCGTTTGTGGTGGTGTCGGTATTGCCCACTTAAGTTCACGAACGCGTTCAAGAGTTCACGGCTGTGATGTAACACCCTAACCCGGTCGGGTACTACTTTTACAAAAATGCTCTTGACAAATAAAGTACTCAAATCTTGAATTGCAGCGGGAAAAATGTTCATAAAAAAAATACTGAAAACCACACTTGTAGCTCAGAGCAAAGCCCTAACACGTGGGCAAATTAAACTCAAACTTTAAAATCTCAATCTGATCTCCAATCTATACTCATAATAAAAAAATTAAATAACTAATAATCTCTAATGTTGTTGCTATTGAAACCTTGACTAAGCATCCTCTGCGACGCTTATACTGCCCTCCTCTAGCTGCCTGCCCTCGAATTCGCTGCTCACTAAATGCTCCTCTAGCTCTTCAAACTGGTGAGTGAGATGGGGTCAGTCTACGCCCTTACGTTTAAAATTCTTACTGCTTAGTACTTTACTGAAAACACTTACTTAAATTTGTGGAAGTTGTTTGTACTTCCACTCTTAAAACTCATAACTCTTAAAACTATATGGGAGTTACTGTTACTCTCCATTCTTAAAGCTCGAATCTTGACTTAAATACTTGACTGACACGGGGATCCCTCACTAGCTAGTCTGGTTGCCAACTCATACGTATGAGAAGCCATCCAGGCTTTCCTTAAACTTAAACTTAGTTAGGGGAGTCGTAACGATTCATCCCCCGAACATCTTAAACTTATCGTGGTGGCTCTTCACCACGATTCTCAAGAGCATAGCTGCTGCTCATCTTAAAAGTCTCAAGAGCATATCTGATGCTCTATCTCAAAGATCTCCAGAGCATAACTGCTGCTCCATCTGAAAATCTTAAATGGCAATGGACTGGCACTAGCGACTAAAAACACTTAAAACGACTTCAC